GAAGATAAACCTTTTTTAGGTCAAATGCAGGACTACCTGACATGACCTGCCCAGTTAGCAATTTATGATGAGATCACCCTGTGAGGTTACTATGAGTTAGATTTATTACAGAGCCCCTTTTCCATCCACATCATAAATTCGGTGTAGATCATATCCATGCATTTTTTTTTACTTTTACTACAAAAAATCCGCTTTCAAATGTGCTAAGCTATGCTGTCCAATGCAGCAGCCACTGTCCACACGTCGCTGTTGAGCACAGGAAATGTGGCTAATCTAAATTAAGATGTACCCTAAGTATTAAATACACTCCAGATTTCACAGAATTAGTACCAAAAGAATGTAAAATATCCTATTGGTAATTTTTATATTGATTATATGTTGAAATTATAATAGTTAAGATATGTTGAGTTAAAGAAAATATACTTTTTTACTGTTTTAATGGTGGTCAATGGTGGATAATTTAAAATTATTTATGTATATACAGGGTAAGACAAAAGTAGGTTTACAGTTGTAAGTACATGAAACAAAGTTTATTCTTGTATTATTGCTTATTCATTACTATATTATTTTTCATATGAACTATAAACTTACTTTTGCCCTACACTGTATATATGACTAACATAATTTCATTGGATAGTGTTTACAATAGAAACTCTTTGGAAAAGGGAAAAATTGTCTCATTGATATTTTATGGTAGCCTGGTTTTTCATTTACTTAGACTTGCCTAAAATACTGAATGTTTGCACTTGTACTCTCTTTTTCTGTCTGTAAACATCTGCCTGCTAAAATGTTCCGGGAGAGATATCTAAGGCCTTACTCAGCTCACACAACAGGAATAGTATAAGTCAATTTCTCCTCTCATTACTAACTGTGCTGCTTTAACTGAAGGGAACCTCTAGAACCTTCTACCACTTTCCTCCGTTTACCACAGGAAGCTGAGGCCAGAGAGGTGGGAGCCTGAGTGGTCCTGAGAAGACTGGAATCCAGGTCTCCTCAGACTCCCAATTTGCTTCCTATAAATGCAATCTTTCCTTTTCATTACAGCAATTTTAGATACTCTGAGATTCTTAACAACCAACAGTTTCATAATTCCTGACTACTAATTAGAACTCAAGTTCAGAGGTCAAGTAACCAAAAAAGATTGTTTTCCTTATATGCTGTTTTATTTCTCTGGGAGAACCAATACCATTCACAGGGCAACTTGCAAATACGAGTATCCGGTGTTGGTGGCAGTGCGTCATGGGCGTGGGTGTGTTTGAAGGAGTGGAAGGCACAGGACACTGGGCTGAGAGGGAGGAGACCCTGGTTCACAATGTGTGATATGAAAACAAATACCAACTAAAGTAGAACTCCATTATTGCATAGATTTCAATTACCCAGACACAATCAGGTCCTCTCCATCCCCAAACCCCATCCTCCAAATATACGTTGTGATAAGATTGCTAGTAATACATGGAGAGAACAAGGAAGTATCTGACATTTAACTTGGATTATCACATCTAATTTTCACAACAGACCTTTAGATAGGCTTTGTCATGCCCATTTTATAGATGAGAAAACTAAGACTCTGAGAAAACATACATTATGCAGTCATCAGACAGAGAAAAGTGGCAAAGCTGAGATTTGAGCCTGGGTCTGTTGACTTTAAAACTCTTGTGCTTTGTAAGTGGCAATCTCTACAGATCATTTTGTAGCTCATACAAAGTGGCCTCAGGCAAGGCACAGGCAACAGCTGAACTTCGCCTGAATAAGAGCCCTTCTTAAAAGTCCGAACACACATGGTGGCCAGCTTCAAGACCACACCAGAGCACCACCCAATCACCTTCACAAATGGCACACCCAATGGGCAAACTCAGCAGGCACCAGAACCCAGCTAAAGCAAATCTTACTCTGTACAGTCAGCACCTGCACAATAGCCCCTTCACTGTAGTCACAGCCAATCCTCACAACCTATCAGCCTGAAGGTCAATCCCTTCACTGACATTCCAACAGCAATCAAGGCTCAACTACAACAGGAGGGCACACACCACCCACATGAGAGTCAAATCTGGAGTTCCTAACTAAGGTGACCAGAAAGACTGTGCCACTGGACTTCATAGGACACCTACTACATTAGGTCACTCTACCAAGATTGGGAGATGTAGCAGCTCTACCTAATACATAGAAACAAATGCAAGGAGGCTGCCAAAATGAGGAGAAAAAGAAATATGTCTCAAATGAAAGAATGGAACAAAACTCCAGAAAAAGAACTGAACAAAATGGAGAAAAGCGATCTACCAGGTTCAGAGTTAAAAGCACTGATTATAAGGATGCTCAGTGATCTCAACAAGAACTTCAACAAAGAGATAGGAAATCTAAAAATGGAGATAGAAAACATAAAAAAGAACCAGTCAGGAATGAAAAACACTAGAAAAAAAATCAACAACAAATTAGATGAAGCAGATCAAATCAGAGAGTGGAAGACAAGGAAGTAGAAAATATCCAATCAGAGCAGTAAAAAGAAGAAAATGAATGCAAAAATATGAGGATAGGTAAAGGGGCCTCTGGGACAGCATCAATCATACCAACATTCACATCATAGGGGCTCAGAAGGAGAAAGGAAAGAATAAGGAATAAAAACTTATTTGAAGAAATAATGACAAAAAACTGCCCTAACCTGGAGAAGGAAATAGATATGCCCTAACCTGGAGAAGGAAATGGATATGCAAGCCTAGGAAACACAGAGTCCCAAACAAGAAGAACCCAAAGAAGCCCACACCAAGACACATCATAATTAAAATGCCAAAAGGTAAAGACAAAGAGAGAATCTTAAAAACAGAAGGAAAAAGAAAAAGCAGTTAGTGACCTACAAGGGAGCTCCATAAGACTGTCAGCTGATCTCTCAATAGAAACTTTGCAGGTCAGAAAAGATTGTCAGAAAATATTGAAAGTGGTGAAAAGTAAGGACCTATAACCAAGATTACCCTCCCCAGCAAGTCTATCATTAAGAATCAAAGGAGAGGTAAAGAGCTTCCCAGACAATAAGTTAAAGGAGTTCATCACCACCAAACCAGTATTATAAAAAATGTTAAAGGAACTTCTTTAAGATGAAAAAGAAAAAGATAAAAATATTAATAATAAAATGGCAATAACTACATATCTATCAACAGTTACTTTAAATGCAAATAGATTAAATAACTCCAATCAAATAGTATAGGGTGACTGAATGAATAGGAAAACAAGACCCATACATATGCTGCCTACAAGAGAGCACTATAGATTGAAAGACACACACAGACTGAAAGTAAAGGGATGGAAAAAGATATTTCATAAAAATGAAAACCAAAAAAAGCTGGGTAACAATAGTTATACCAGACAAAATGGACTTTAAAACAAAGGCTATAATAAGAGACAAAGAAGGACCCTGCAATTCCACTTCTTGCCATTTATCTGAAGAAACCCAAAATAATAATTTGAAGAGACATATGCATCCCTATGTTCACTGCAGCATTATTTACAATAGCCAAGATATGGAAGCAACCTAAGTGCCCATCAATAGACAAATTGATAAAGAAAACATCACACACACACACACACACACACACACACACACACACAGGAATATTACTTGGCCATAAAAAATGAAATCTTGTCATCTGCAACAACATGGATGAACCTAGAGGATATTATGCTAAGTGAAATAAGTTAGACAAAGAAAGACAAATACTATATGATTTCACTGTGGAATCTAAAAAACAAAATAAATGAACAAACAAAATAGAAACAAACTCATAGATACAGAGAACATTTTGATGGTTGCCAGATGGGAGGGCTGGGTGAAAAGGGGGAAGGAATTAAGAAGTACAAAGTGGTAGTTACAAAACAGTCATTGGGATATAAAGTATAACATAGATAATATAGTTAATAATATTGTAATGACTATGTATGTTGTCAGATGGATATAAGATTTATTGGAGTGAACACTTAGTAAGTTACATAAATGTCCGATCACTACGTTGTATACCTGAAACATAATATTATACATCAACTATAATTAAAAAATTATTTTTAAGGAAAATAAAACCTCTTATACTTTGCACTACACCTTCATGTCACCAAATTAATAAAGGTGATCATTTTCCACCTCTATTTCCAGAGTTATTAATGTTTCCATGTTACTCTTATTGCTGTTTAGAATAGAAATTGTATTTCTGGGCCTAATATTTTTCATCTGTAAGAGACAGTTTGCCTGAATGGGCTCTAGGATTCTTTCCTGCCTTTCATACTGTACAACTTTTTTTACTTTATAATTTAATAAAAGAAAGCTGCTAGTACAATCAATTTTTTACTAAGTAATCTCTGTCATATAAAAATATTTAAAAGAACTGGAATTGTTGGGCTTGTTTAACTGAAAGAAGAGAAAACTTTCAGAGGGCAGAGGGAGTGGAGAGATGTAAAATATGCTTATTTAAGATATAAAATGTCCAGATATTTTAAGGTGGCTACCACATGGAAGAGAGGTTGGACTCCATCTTTCTGACCTCAAGGAATGTAACTACAACCAATGAGGAGAATTTCTAGACTTCTACTCTTTCTCATATGCTCAACCTGCCAGCTACATAAGACATAGAGTAACTTCTTGGGGTGAGATGATTAAAGCAGAAAACTTTTAAGATCACTTTCATGATAAGATTCTTTGATTCTATAATAGACTGATCTTCCATACTAGCCCTGTAAAAGAGATTCTATACTTAACAAGATTGAAATCTTTGGTTCAAGGGTATCAAATCATAATTAGCACTTCAGTCATCAGTGAACAGGTGAAAAAGATATGGACATGGAGTAAAGAAGGGGACATAAGACACCAAAGTTCATTCTATGAAACCCCAGAGGTCCAATCTCTTGTAAGACTGGCTTCCACCTGTAACGTCCCTGTAGTCACCATGCTCAACAGCAGGCTGCTTAGTTGTGGTGAGAGCAACCTGTGGACCAGCTTAAGAACCTGCTGCCTTCTCTTTCAGATGTTCACCTCCACAATATTTGCTGTGATTGGATTCTTGGGCGCTGGATACTCATTTATCATCTCAGCCATCTCCATCAACAAGGGTCCTAAATGTCTCATGGAAAATGGCCAGTGGGGCTACCCCTTTCACAAAGGGTAAGGTGCACCCTGCAATGCTTACTTGTCACCGCAAAGGGCAGGGGCAGATAAATGGCCCAAGGGGAGAAACTGCACATGTCCTGTCATCCTAACAAGTCTCAGGCATGCTGCTGTGAGGCAGAGCTGGAGTGGGAAGTGCAGTGACATTGCACAAGAGCTCACCTCTAACTGCTGCTCTGACAGGGACCAGGCGGAGTAAGGAAAGGGCACCTCTGCCGGCCTGAGGGAAGGAGAGCTGTGGTGTCCCCACTGACACCCACAGTTTATTAGCAGACACATGAGACAAATAGCAATATTGATAACAGACAGTGTTGGCTTCCACTGCAAATCTTAGAATAGAAAACAAGCATGATTACTCACCACAGGGCCCGAAGGCTTTCACTAATACCCCAAATGGTCTATAACTAACAGTTTTTCAAGGTGCAAATTTACAGCTAATGGCATTGGAAACCATGTAGATTCTTCACGAGAGTTAATGTTAATAGAAATATTTAAAATAACACTTCATATTTTCATGGTGCTTTGTAGTTTATAAAAAAAACTTTCTTTTTTTGTTTTTTTAAACAAATTTATAATTTAGTATCCTTAACAACCTCAAGAGGTAATTTACTTCCTGCCAAGACAGGCTTAATAGATTTGACTTGCCCAGGTCAAATTTGAGGCCCAGGTCCATGAAATATGAGGTTGGAGACTTGGGCACAGCTATCATTGCCTGCATCTCTGAGAGTCTCAGAACCTGAGACTTTGGGGGAGAGAAGGGCCTGGAACAGCCATCCCTGGTGGTTTGTGGGTGGGACTGAGAGGGTTGCTCCAGGCACCAAACTCAAGCCTTGCTTCCAAGTTCCACCCTCAGCATTTTGCTAATCCCGCCTCCAGGAGGTGCTATCATCCCACCACTGCACACACTCCTCAGAAGAGGGAAAGACTTAGACTGCCAATCACTTCATCTCAGGGCCTTCTCTTCACCAAATGTGCCTGGAAAATATTGTTTCTCTGTAACTTCTTATCATCGGCAAGTTTAAAAACTGTAAAGAGGGACAGGACTACATGGAAAAATGCAGAACAGAAAGAGGAGTGTTTAAAAAATAACAACTGCCAAAAAGAGGTCTTACTCAACAATACATACGTTGTGTTTTCTCAGTGAATTCTCACAACCGAGAGGTTGCTTTCAGCCTATTTTATAGATGAAGAAACTGATACTGCTGGTGGGAAACGGATAAGTAACTTGGGTGAGGAACACGCAGCTTGTAAGAGGAATGCTTGCATTCAAACCCAAGTCCATCAGAATCCAGGATACCAGGCTCTTTCCTTTAGACAACTCAGATCAAGTGAAATAAAAGCAATCCTAGCATTACTGAGCGCTTCCTATATGCCAGGCACTGTCCTAAGCACTTTATTTGTATTANGGCACTGTCCCAAGCACTTTATTTGTATTAACTCATTTCATCCTCACAATAACTCTAGGGTTTCACAGGTAATGTGATTCCCATTTTACAGGTAAGTCACACAGCCAGTGCAGCTAGAACCTGTGCTCTTATGGAAAGTCAGTCAATGTTATAAACAATGTTTTATTTTCAAATCAAGAGCAAATGCCCGTTCCTTTGTTTTTTCGACTATTAAATGCCAAGGCATCTTCCATCATTGCAAACATTTTTCAAATCTTAATACAGAATGTATTAAATAAGTGTGTACTGATTACTATAGAATTCATCAGAAACAGGAATCATCAAAAAAATCCAAGCACAATCAGGTGGGTGCTGACTTGGTAGCCAGGTGCAGACAGAGCTTCCCATCGAGGCCCTGAGAGGACAGAGGAGGCATAAAGGAAGGGGGGAGACCAGCTGGTGGCTCTGAGTGTGAGGAGGAATGACAGCGACCCAGAGGCCTGGCCCTCTTCCCTGTGGCTGTGGGAGACAGTGCTTCGTTTTCCCTTCAGGGCAGACGCCCTCCCGGTGCAGGGGCCTCCTCACATATAGCTCGTCAATGTATTGCAGTTCTCCTATTTCAAAGTTCTTGTAAGATATAGATTAAGGCAGCAGGCTACTTAGTGCTCCTAGTTAATGAAATCTTTTTGCATGTGGACTTCCCACATGTTGACAAAAATATAATTGAGTCAAATTCACAATTTGGCTAGAATTAGGCTTTTAAAAAGTCAAGGTCTTCCCTTTAACTATATGACACGATTGTACTTTTGGCTTAAGGTGGCCACTAGACGTGACAGAATTGTGACGAATATCCAAGTGGTCCTGAATGACAGTAGGGGGAACAAAGCTCAGGGACACGTGTGAGATTCTGCTCCTGGAGTATCTTCATTTCCCTGGTTCCCCAAAAGATGGTGAATTAACCCATCCTCTGTCAGCTCACAAAAATCACTCTGTCACTTAGCTGTGTGACCTAGGGGAAAGTCACTTAACCTCTCTGTGCTTCAATGTCTTTCTTTGTGAAATAGAAGGAAAGAGTCATAAGGTTTCTATAAAAAATAAAATAGTTGCCCAGCCGGGTGTGGCTCAGCGGTTGAGCATCGACCTAGGATCCAGGAGATCAAGCTTTGATTCCCAGTCAGAGCACATGCTCTGGTTGGGGGCTCAATTCCCAGGAGGGGACGTGCAGGAGGCAGCCGATGCATGACTCTCTCATCATTGATGTTTCTCTCTCTCTCTCTCCCTCTCCCGTCCTCTCTCTGAAATCAATAAAGATATATTTTCTAAAAAAAGTAGTTAAAAATGTAAAATGTTTGGAACAAGGTCTAACACATAGTATGTAGTCTATAGAAATGTTACGTGTTGTTTTTAAATTTATTGATATTATGGGATATTTTTCTTATGGTGCTTATATTTTTGGATGGAAAGCATTTCAAAAGAGAACTATTGCGGTGACTTTCCAGTCTAAGGTATGGCCTGCTTTTTATAGCTGTCTCCTTCCTCCCCCATGCTCCCGACAGCGATTACCTCAGTGACGAAGCCTTATGGAGCAACTGCCAGATGCCTGAAAACGTGGTGTCCTGGAATCTCACCCTCTTCTCCATCCTGCTCATCATAGGAGGGACCCAGATGTGTCTCTGTGCCATCCAGGTGGTCAACGGCCTCCTGGGGACCCTGTGTGGAGACTGCGGGTGTTGTGGCTGCTGTGGGGTGAGTTGAAGTCTTTGTCCTTACTCCTCAGGATGGGAATCCAAGGCTGGCCTCCAGCGTTAGTGGAAATGACACGGCGAAGAGGGTGGCAGCTACAGAAAACCACAGGCAGGCTGGACAGTCCGGGCAGCCCCCTCTGTCAACCCAGGGAACAGTGACATTGTGTTGCTGGGGCCCAGAAACTCTGTTCTCTGTGCATGTTAATGTACCCAGGCTGAAGTTGGCCCAAATTTCCAGTCTCACACCCAGCTGACCATAGTCCTGAAGGTAAAGGACTGAGTATACATGTAGAAATTTACAATGTTATGTGAGAGTCCCCAGGGAGTGGGTATTTGTCATGTGTACAAAGTGTCAGTAGTAACACATCACAGTCTGGGCCAAACGTTCTCACCATTTCCTGACTAGAGCTAAGCAGTGGGTTAAATTTGCCAAGTAGTATACAGAACACACTTCAAGGAATTTTCTTTTCCCTGTAAAAGAACAGAACATATCAACTAAAAAGTAAACTATATTTTGATGAGATACCTGATGTAAAAAAGAAATGTTCCCAAAGTGCGGGGATAGGAAAAGTACAAAGGGTTTAGTCTCAAAATTGATTATAAATTATCAGTAAGAATGTAAAAAATAAAAATAAACCTATGAGAAGTAAGACAGTGTATTTATTTCATCTAATGACCAAACCAGATCAGGCAAAGTTATTTAAATATGCAGATTGGTGCATGAGGGGGGAAAAATAACTCGGTTGTCTAATTGGAAATTGTGTGGATAAATGTAAATAAAGGTCTATCTACTTAACATAATATTCCCTAATTTTATTTTATTTTTTATTTTATTTTTTTTTTAATATCTTTATTGATTTCAGAGAGAGGAAAGGAGAAGGAGAGAGAGAGATAGAAACATCAATGATGAGAGTCATTGATCGGCCGCAGCCCGCAACCCGGGCATGTGCCCTGACCGGGAATCGAACCCTGATCGCCTGGATCCTAGGTCGACGCTCAACCGCTGAGCCACGCCCGGCCGGGCAATGTCTTCCCTAATTTTAAATGAGTCAAAAAATTTTCTTTAAATTTTTAACAAGCATTATATGTCTATAAGTCAAAAAGTGTGTGTGTGCGTGTGCGTGTGCGTGTGCGTGTGTGTGCATGTGCGTGTGTGTGCGTGTGTGTGCGTGTACACAGATACAGATATATAAAGAGGTTTTCTGTTGGAAATGCTGCCCCCTGCCCTTTTCTTCTGTCCAACCATTTCTCCCAGTTCTCCACCTAGGAAATGTTACCTAATTTCTTCTATATCCTCCCAGAATTTCTTTTTATTGTTTTTATTAATAATATTTATGGTTGAGTGTTGACCCATGAACCTAAAGGTCACAGGTTGGATTCTTGGTCAGGGAACACGCCTGTGTTATGGGCTTGATTCCCAGCAGGGGGCTTTCAGGAGGCAGCCAATCAATGTTTCTCTCCCATGGATGTTTCTCTCTATATATCCCTCTCCATTCATCTCTCTCTGAAGAAAAAATCAATAAAACAAACATTTTTTTAAATAATGTTTATGAGATAGTGTTATTTAAAAAGAACAAAATACAAAATAAATGTATACAGGATAGAAAATTGTATAAATATAAAAAAACAAATGCTATAAATAGAAAAAGACCTAAAGGAAATCCAACCAAAATGTTAAATAATAGTTAAAGGTTTAACAATTTTATATTTTAAAATATAAAAGAGTAAACAAAAAGTTCCAAAAATCTACTGTAAAATGCATGTATTACAAGTAAATTTTACTGGCTATTGACTTTTTTCTATAAATTTTCAATTCTATTGTGTTGTATGTAATATTTTTGGTCAATAAACACAATTGAACAAATTGTATAGAAAAGAAAACTACCAGTTAGTTATTCATCAAAATTATTTTTACGATAACAGTAAGAATATTCAGCATGTGGGTCTTGTGATTCCTCCACAATGAATTCGTGCTTTCTGAGTCAGCTGATTCATTTCAAACACCAATATTATTTCTTTTCCTGCTTTCACAGAAGACGGTTACACTTTTTAGCTAGGTTAGGTAGAAAAATTTTATTGCAAGATTTATTGGAAATACTACTGCTCTTTGAATACAAGATAGTAGTTTACTAAATCTGAGGATTATCTATAAATGAAAAAACATACCCTTAAATGTTAGCACATTGACTCTTTTCATTGAGTCTCATCTACTCAGGTATCATATTTTCTCAAGTTTAATGAATAAATTACTTGATAGTCAAAAGGCAGGAGATGGTGAATGAACCCTGCTGGAATTTCCTCCCTCTCTCCCTTCTTCAACTTTTTATGTGGAAAACTTTGCATCTATATAAAATTTAAAAGAACAGTACAATATACACCTGTATGTTTTCACCTGGATATACAAGTTGTTCATATTTGCTCCCTCTTTTTTAACCATTGGAAAATAACTTGCAGACATCAGGCAACTTCACTACTAAATATCTCAGTGCCCATTAGAGCTACACTTTTTAAAACTCAGTCTGGTGAGGATTCTCCTCTTGTGAGCTTGCCTCTCATAGAGGAGGTCGGCGTCCCTCCCCCAGCAGGACACCGCGGGAAGGCGCGCGCTCTAGGAGTGAAGTTACCAGTGCCAGCGGCCTAACTTCTCTGTCATAGTTACCCCAACCACCTTTACCAAACTTCTGCAGACAGTGAGCAGATCAAGATGCATTTATCTAGGCAGAAAATATCTATAGAGGTCCTGAGCTTGGCACAGTCCTTGAATGAGGCAATAGATAAAAATGTGCTCTAAAATTCAAGCTATGGCCCGGGATGAGTGCCAGCTCTGTGGTCTTGGCGAAGTCAATTGCCCTCACTTGTTTCTTTGTAAAATGTGATTGTTAAACCAACTTCCTACAGTTGTTGACTGAGCACCTAACATGGGTGATTAATATATATTCATTTCAACAGTTAGAAGGCTCAGTACATTGCACTGATTGTTATTTACTAAGAGCATGAAAATCAGTGAGACTGCATAGCTGCCAGAAAAGGAACACAATCTCTGGGTTCAACCTCCCTGGGCTCAAATCCTGGCTCCTCTACTTAGTTGTGGCTTTAGAGACATCACTTGAGCTCTCTGTGCCACTTATAGAAATTGTTTTTAATAACAAATGATGCAAAATAAAGTGAAGCTTCAACTCTTATAACTTAAACACAATTAGGAAATTAAAGCTCTGAAACAAAGTCGGAATAGTATAGAAAACATTCAGTAAGTAACCAATAAGGGTCAAGAGTATTGGAGCAGAGAGGTGATGGGGAAGGGAGGGGGGAGGGGAGAAATAAGCAAAAAAAAGGGAAAAAATGATGTCATGCTTAATTAACTTTTTCTGCCTTCTAGGGAGATGGACCAGTTTAAACCCCTGTGATGACCTTCTCTGACGCGGTGGCATGTGGGAAGAGACACTGAACTTCACCTTCTCTCTTTGCAGTTGTCGGCTTCCATGTGCTTCCTGACTGTCAAAGCGCAGGAAGGGACAGTTATTCTTTCTTTCCAACCAGCTTAGCTCCACTTGGAGCTTTAGGTTAGTTTCAAATAAAAAACAGGTTGCCCACATGAGTTAGATTTATAAATCTTTCAATTTAGCTTCTCGTTAGAATTGAAGAGCAGGTAAAAAGCTAATTTTTCACAAGTTTTTCTTAAAGAATGAAAAATGGCTGTCACGTGGACTGCCACATACTTCTTTGTACAAACAGGTGTTTATGTCTTTGGAAGTTCAACATAATTCAAAGGAGAAAAGCACATTAAAATGAGCAACTAAGACCAATTTTTGTTGTCAAGATTTATGAAAAAAAAGAATGACCGATGTGTCATAAATAATTTTTATTTGGTGTCTTTTGGCTAACTTGTTTGAATTAATTGTGATTACTCTTTTGAGTAAGAATTTCCTTATGTCTATTAAATGAAAAGCCTAATTCAGTAGTAATATAATAAACATAGTGTGTGTTTTGGGAAGGAGGGGGGAAAGGTTGAATGAATAACACTCTCTTTTCACTTCTCTACAAATGCCTCCTTTGATCAAACAAAAAACATTTTTAAAAAGTTGACTTGGGCAATAACTTGTCAGCCGAGGACCCACCCAAGATTAAGGTATATTATATTATGACACTAACTTTGGTTTTATAAGTCAGGCCCTAATATGATGTTAAATCCATTGTGTTGATTTGAGTTCAAACCTCAGCTCCACCACATACCAGCTTGGGGATCCTGGGAAAGTTACTTTCTAAGTCTGTCTGTTTTCTCATCTGTAAAAGAACTGTTAAAAGGCAACCAATCATCCAAGAAATGTCCAAGGGCCCCCAGGGTGACGCCGGGAGGCCTGTGGGATTGTGAACATGACTCAGGCACAGTGAGGAGGACTCATGGCAGTTACAGCCAGAGTCTCACCTCTGCACCTGCCACGCTGACAGGCACACTGACAACTAGGCTTCTCATAGTCACTAACACAGCAACTACCCATCGCCCCTGAGTGCTGGCCGCCTGGGGATGGCCACTGAACACAGGAAGGATCACAATCTTTTGATTTTTCCCTGAGGGCAATGGGAACTCTGAGGTCAGAGATCCAGTCTGGCACTGAGCAGAAAGGAGGAAAGGCAGGCAGGTGCTCATTACCATCTCCTGGGGGGAACTGTAAATAGACCACACACACACACACACACACACACACACACACACACACACACACAGCTACAAATCAGTTTAGACCTCTGGTTCTCAAAGGTGGCTGAATCACCCAGAAAATGTACTAAAATTATGATTCCTGAGCCCCATTGACTAGACCACAGACTGGCAGGCACCATGGATGAAAAGGAGTCAGACCCCAAAGGACACTCACACTCTACCGATTAATATTAATAAAATGTAGTATATGCCAAATCCTAAATGGTAACACAGGTAACTATGTGCCAGAGGTTCAGAGGTATCAGACCTTTGGAACTGAATCATCGACCTAAGTTCTTTGAAGAGGAAATAAGAATGTGGGGGAGGCATCGATTCCTTGTCTAGGGCTTTTCCTTGATGCACATTTTAGAAATGAAGGTTTCTATTCATCACTCAATCCAGTCTCATTATTTTATAAAGAAATAACACATGACTTTGACAAGCTTTCACACAAAAAGCAGTTTTTCTAATTCAATTACCATAAAATTAGGAAAAATAGCTTACCATGGAGAAGAAGACTTAGATGGGACAGGAAGCAAGGGTAACATTGAACGGGCCCTTCCTTTGTACATCCACACATACACACACACACACACACACACACACACACACACAGCCTGAGGTTGGTAATAAAACTGTCCATAAATTTTCCTTATGTGAGTTGCTAAGTTGGCATTGCTTTCTTGAGTATGTGATTGGTTTCTCTGCATTTTGGAGTACAAATTCGCCAAGGAAAGAGCAGTATCTCATTCGAGGCTGCACCCCACAGCCTAACAAGGGACCTAGCACATGGTAGGTAATCCTCAGATTTGCTGTGTTCCTGGCCCTGAAATAAACGTAGGAAGATTTCCAAACTTAGTAGCCAAAAAAGTAGGAAGTGGGCATCTGAGCTACAAATTGAATGAGGGGCTGAAACGACCTCAAGGCTCCATGACAGACCCATGAGTAGAGAAGCCTAAACGGTATTTCTTGTAACTGCATGTGGTTCCCGACTCTGAGCACCGTGGCCCTGGGCATTGACCTGGGCCGCTCCTGGGCCTCCCCCTCTGCCCAGCGTTCTTCTGGGCCCGTGAGCACAAGGCCAAAGGCCCGCCTGGTAGGTGTCTGCCCAGGATTGAGGGCAGCTCTGCTCTGAGCAGCTTAAGGAAGGCACGAGGACTCTGCAGATCTCCAGGGGGGGCCAAGAAAAACCAAACACACCTGAAAACAAATGGTTAGATGAGCATCCCAACATCATGGGATCATCCCAGTTATGACATCAGACTTCTTCAAGGGACAAAGCCCCTCGTGGTAGCAGGATATGACGAGAACTTTGTGTTGGTGTCATGCAAAGGACACATGAAGTGTGTGCAAGCTGAGTCACAAACCCTGGCACACACCCACGAAGGCAGGAGAGAGCGCCCTAGCACACACTGTGACCCATGGAGGGTAGTCGCCCACAAGGTGAGGTNTCAAGGTGAGGTAGGAAGAGAGAAGAGGGAAGAGGTGACAGGTGGGCGAGGAAGAGGAGGGGAGGGAGAAGTAAGTTCAGGGTTTAGCACAACTCATGGGAAGGACCACCAATCGGGCCCCAGGGAGAAAAATAATCGGCCTTTCTGCAAAGGCCCCTTGTCTTGTGTTAGAAACAATAATAGGCTGACCCCAATCTTAACCCAACGTATCAGTCAGGGGTCAACCAGAGGCCAAGTATACATATAAATAGCAAGGGTCTGCCTTAGTAATTGTGGGGGGTAGTTTGCGGTCTCTGAGAGACTTGTGTCCTGTCTGATGCTGGAGCTGTGAGTGCACAGGGCAGGCATCGGCCAGGGGGGCGGATGTAACGCGTGAGAGGAAGAGCAACTGGAACCTGCAGGCACGGCCGAGCCCGTGGGCATGGACTGAAACCCACACCAGGCTTTTGCCTGTGGCTCCGGAGGTGCGGGTGTCCTGAAGAAGCTGGACCCTTGTCACGGGGCTGCACACCTCTCCTGGCCCAGTGCTCAGAGAAGCTGCAGGAGCTCGGGGCCGGTGGGGGCTGGAGGCCCAGCTGCTGCCCGATGCCGGGAGGGGAGGCAGCACCTGGGCGGCGGGTGTCTGCACCAGGAGGTGCCCTGCCTCCCTCGGCCTCCACAGCTCGCAGAGGAGAGGGGGCTTTGGGGGATGGAGTTTGGCTTAGCCAAGCTGACAAGTTACAAAGCCACCACTCAGCTTGCAGAAGGGGACCGTGTTTTAGTTGTGTCTCCAGGTTCTGTTTCCTAGTGTAGGTCAGGGGCTCTCATCCTCACACTTGGGACCAGATCATTCTCTGTCGAGGGTGGGGAGCTGTCCTGTGCTCCACAGGTGGTTTGCAGCATCTTTGGCCTCTACCTGCCCAGGGCTAGTCGCAACCTCTCTTCCTCAGTTGTGACAACCAGTATATCTCCAGACATTGCCAGTGTCCCCAGGAGACAAACTTCCATGGCCAAGAATCGCTGGGCTTGAACGTGTGCTGCTTGAGGAGAACCATTCGTGTTTTCTCCTGGAACCAACTGTGCTTTGCATGTAGGAAGAGCTCANTTCTCCTGGAACTAACCGTGCTTTGCATGTAGGAAGAGCTCAGCAATACTGAGTGAGTGCACACTTAAGTGCACCAGCAAATTCCTGTCACCACAGTGACAGGCGTGCATTTGAAGGACAGTATCTGCTCCTGAAATGTCGGGTTCTGACTTCAGAGCCTTGCTCTTTTGGTCTAAATACTCTCCCCAATGACCACGCTGGCCGTGAATTTTTTTGTTGTTGTTTTGTTTTGTTNGTGTGGTTTTCATGCCTATGTTCATGATCCCATATCTTTATCTCTAGCCCACACCACAGCCCTGCCCGCTAAATGTCTGCTTTTGAATGGCTCCTTGGCCCCTCAAAGCAGCATTTCTAACTGGGCAACATGCCCAGTCCCTCCATGCATGCTTCTCATGAACTCCTGGGGTCTGGCAACATCATCATCTGCATTAAGAAGACACAGAACCTCAGGAGTGACCCTAGGTGACTGTCCTAAGTTCTCAACTTACCATGCCTGCCCTTTCTGTGGCTCCATCACCCTGCCCCTGCTGGCCTCTGCACTGCGCTGGAACATAGCAGATGTTCACTGCAAGGGACGTTATCACTGTCGTGGCATCATGACTATTCTGCTCCAAAGAAAGAAACAGCTGGTCTCAGGTTCTTCACAATCAAGCATTTATAATTGAAAAAACAGCATTCTTTGTTAATAAGCAGAAATCATGGTGAGTTATAACATGGATCATTTCACTTACTCCTCAGAACAACTGACCAAGTGCTCACAAGTGCCCATTCCTTGCCCTCTGCTTTGTCCTGGCCTTTGTGGGACTTCTCCCCTCCCCACAGGCCCCTGTGCTTGGCCCCAGCCTGAGGCCTCACTGACGTGTCCCTTTCTCAGCTTCTCTGGGGAGTGGGCTGACCACAGGGAGAGACGTTTCCTGTCAGACTCCAGCCATCATGCCCCCAGCTGCCCAGCTTTCCCTGCTGCTGGGCTCTGCCCACCCTCCGCACAAAGAAAGGCCTCTTCTGCTTGTGTCTGAGGCACCTGCAGATTCCTGAGATTGGGTTCTCCCGTGGCAGCTGACCTTTAGAATAAAGCTGCTCCTTATCTAAGTCTGGGTTAGTCTGTACTTGACACAACCGGCGGATATAGAAACCATGATTAGCCCATTTTGTGTAACAGTAAA